GTGTCTGGATGGGATCATGCACACACACACACACACACACACACACACACACGTGTCTGGATGGGATCATGTCCTGATCAGCATTGGACCCGTGGTCTCACCTGGGCTGTCTCGGTGACAGGCAAGGCCATGAACTACGGGATCTCCTAAGACAGACGTGAGATGAAGCTTGTGAACATGCCTGGCGCATTCCCCCTAACCAGGGTGATCCCACCCGCCCCCTTGGTAGAGGAACATGGGCATTTCTTGCTCTTCTCCCCTTGCGTTGCCCGGCCCCTGTCGAGGACACCCGGTTTGTTAGGCAAGCGCGCCCTCTCCTGGACACAGGGGAGAATGGCTCGAACGGAACAGCTGGCTAAGGCAGGGCGGCATTAGTTAGAGAGACTAAGTAACATTACTTAGCATCCCTTCCTCCCCGACGCTTCCCCTACTCCCTTCTTAGGTTTCCCGCCTCCTTCATAAAGCTTTCCCCACCTGCCGGGCAGGATGGTTCTCTCTCCTCTGAAGTCGGTTTACACGTCATGTGTACCGCTCCATGGTATGAGCACTCACCGCCTTTTTATGATGCTTATTTATGTCTTCTGGGCATTCTGACTTAGAAGTGTTCGCTCCTCAACCCTTGAGAGGTTTACAACTGAACGCTTAATTTCTCTGTGAGTCCCCTGCCTTGCACTTTACCTTACACATCCAGGCCTCCCGTAAATGTGTGCTGAACGAGGGGATTCATGGGTCAGCTTCTGAACCCTGCCCAAGAAGGGTCCAGCCAGGCACCTGCCTTTTCCTGTTTGCCTGACGTGACGCTATTTCCCCAACAGGACCCCCCATCATCTCCAGCACCCAGACCCAGCACGCCCTGCACGGGGAGAAGGGCCAGATCAAGTGCTTTATCCGGAGCACACCACCACCGGATCGAATCGTGAGTGCTCTGGGGCCCGGAGGGGAGGGCTGGGGCCCTGCCCACTCAGCCAGCAGCCCAGTAGCTCATCTCAGCCTGCCGCCTACAGCCATCAGGCCTCTGAGTTTCCCGTCCTCCATGGGGAACATTTCACCTGCCTGGGCTGTCTGGGAAAGGCATCATGGAGACAGCGGCCTCCCAGGGCCAGTCTGCAGGTGTCTTTAACTCTGCTCTGAGCTCCAGGTGGGCCCCAACAGTAGTAACAGTAATGCTTCCAAGTTTTGCGTCCTAGGAGCAGAGGGGCGAGTGAGGGTAGCAGAAGGGAATGCTAAGTGATTGCTTCCCTTTCCTGGGTTCAAGGCCCATCTTTGGCAAAATCCTAGACAGTGTGTGGTTTCTGGTCGTCAACCTCCTTTCTTTGTCCCCCACCCCCCAAGTCCTCCACAGTCCTAATGCTCATGGAGAGCCTTGCCCCATGAACTGAGTTCTCCCCTGCCCCCCAAAAAAGTACCATTCCATTTTCCCTCCCTTCTGCAAAACTCATCCCTGTTCCCGAAGGGTCGCTAAGGCAACCTGAAGAATTCACACTTGGGCCCTGCCAGATGTTGTAAAAGCCAGCGTCTTCACCCACGTCTATCTGAAACCAGTGGGAGCCCAGGCATGAAAACAGACAAAGGGGAGCATTTTCTAGCATTAGTGGGATTCAGATACTATTTTTAGTGGCCCCCAATGCCTGGCATAGTCCATCAGGACAGCTCCGTCGGGGAGGATGTAGGGGTTGCGCACTGAGCAACAGGGTTGTGTGCATACCAGGGACTGGGACGCTGCTCAAAGAATCATCCTGTAAACTCCGATATGGTTAGGGCATCACTCGTGTTACACACTTTCTCAGGCATTTGGCTCATTCACTATCTGAAAAATTCACACACAATTTACAGGAAGTCATACATAGATCTAATACCTATGAGCCCCCCTTCCCTCTGCCCTTTAATTTTTTTTTTCAGTTATAACTGTAACCCATGCCCATCAGAATAACCCGTTCACTCTTGAGCATGTTTGCACGATCTTTCTCTTCATAAAGATCTAACTCTTGGCCCATGGCTCTCAATGAGACAACCTTGCCCTCCCCCTCCCACCGGGGACATTTGGCATCGTCTGGAGACGTTTCTGTTGGTCACAATTTGGAGGGGTGCCACCAGCATCGAGCAGGTGCTGACCCGGGATGCAGCTGAAATTCCTGCAGTGCACGGGACAGCCCCCCAACCAGGAACATTCCAGTCCCGCATGTCACCAGTGCCAAGTCTGAGGAAACACAGTCTCCTCACCTACCACCTCTGCCTGCAGAGATGGCCACATTCACCCCAATGCTGCGAGCCAGGGCCCGTGTGCCGGCGCTTACACGCTGAGCAGCGCAAAATGGCTCTGACAAGAATTAAGCTCCCAGCCTTGTAAACTAAGACAGGTTAAGATGGTCACAAATACACCTCTGGGATCATACGTTTGTGCGAAGGAGCGAAGTGGCCAAACTAGGCTCAGTCACTCTGGGGCTGGTCTTCTACCCACACCTGCCAGGGCAGCCGAGGGAGAGGCTCCCATCGCTGTCACGGGGTTCCCTGTCTGCCTGGAAGGTGTCCCAGGAAAGAGCCAGAGAAGTCCCCTGTCCGTGGAAGTGCCCTCCGAGGTGGCCCCACCTTCGCGTGTGCGTGCATGGGTATGCGCGTGTGTGGCGTGATGTGTGTGTGTTGTGACGTGTGTGTGGACCCCTCTGTGGCCGTGAGCATAGACACGAGCCTGACAGCATCTGCCCCAGAGCAGGGAGGTGGCAGGGCGGCACTGGCAGAGGGCGGGTGCGAGGGTCTCCTCCTCACTCTGAGCACCTCGGACAGGCCTGGTCCTGGAAGGAGAATGTGCTGGAGTCAGGGACATCGGGGCGCTACACGGTGGAGACGGTCAGCACCGAAGAGGGGGTCATCTCCACACTGACCATCAGCAACATCGTGCGGGCCGACTTCCAGACCATCTACAACTGCACCGCCTGGAACAGCTTTGGCTCTGACACGGAGATCATCCGGCTCAAGGAGCAAGGTGGGGGCCGCCAGGGCCGCCAGGGGATGACGGGACTGGCGCGCCCCCTCCCCACCTAGACCTCCCCAAGTAGGGCCCCAAGCAAGGTCCTCCAGGGTCCCCAGCCGGCAGAGCCCCACAGAGGCCACAGGTGGGTTGACCAGGATAAGCCACAGAGCAATTCCTAACGTGCTCTGTAGCCTTGGTCAGATCACCAGAAGTGGCCCTCTGGGGTCCAGCTCCCCCAAAGCCAACGTCCTAACCCACACCAGGAAAGGAGAGGTGGGGAAACCTGCTTAGAGTAAGGCTTCTCCAGGACAGTATTTTCAGGAAAAGGTGACCACAGAGCAAGGCAAGCTGATGGCCGTGATGAGCCTTCCAGGAGCTTCTAAGGGCCCTGGCTTCTGTGCACTTGGCATTTCCCTAGTGTCCTTGGGGGGGTGTCACCCACTGAGGAGTGTCCCTGCGGGGGTACACCAGGATGAATGTGTTAGGGAGCCTGGCCCAGGCCCGTGAAGACAATAAGTCAGTCCAATTCCCCAAGTGTCCCCCAGAGGGTGCCCCTGCTAAGCTAAGGGGTAGTCCTTGAGCTGCCCGAACCCCTGGGTCATGGGGGTCAGGTTCAGCTCACCTGCAGTTCCTCCTCGAACGTAGAAGACATAGGGACCACTGTGCTCTGAAGGGGACACCAGCCAGAGGGCAGCGCTGGGCCAGAGGGCTCAGAGCTGCCGGGCGGGCGAGGAGGTGGGGGAAGGAAGGCTCATTCGCCCTGCCCCCCACCCCCCGGCCCCATGACCCCCAGGTACAGACTGCCCAGCTCCTGGTCAGAGAGATGCTGAGAACTCTGGTCTCCGCTTTCAGATCTCACTCGGACCGCAGGGTGGGAGCCTCAGAGGGGCACAGCGGGGTGGTTCTGAGATGCTCACGGAGAGCCAGCAGCACACGGGCAGCACACGGGGCCTGAAATGGGCTGCAGACCTTGCCCCTTTGCCGGTCAGAGTGGGGGGGAGGGGGAGGGGGCTCAGTCTACGGCAGACAGAGCAGTCCAGGCTCCTCGGCCCTGGCAGTGTCTGACCCCTACAAGACGAAGGCTCACCCACAGATTGTCAGGGCCCAGCAAGAGATTCTGGGCCAAGCAGGTGGTCTCCGCCAGACCCCTCGGACCTCAGCGCTACCCTGTGGGTCAGTGTCTCCCTACACCTCTTCACTAATAATGCTGCTTTGCATAATGCTTCGCACATAATCTGCATACTGTCATCTACCCATCATCCTAAACCCTCCCGGTCACCCGTTGCTTGCCCTCCGTGTCTTCCCCTGAGTGCCCCCACCCCCATGCCCTCCCCTTAGTGTTCTCCCCCCAACCTCTCCAGACACCTCGCCCCTCCAAGCCTTGACTTCTCTCTGGTCCCTACCCCTTCTGGCGTCTCTTCTAAGTCAGTCTGAAGGAATGCCCAGTTCAGTTCAGCTAGCCTGGGTCTGCTGGGTGGTCCCGGAAACATGAGAGAGGAGGGAGCCCCTCATCCCGCTCCCCACCAGGTGGCCGCCCCAGGCACCCCCCACCGTGGCCAGCCAGGCCCTGGCTGTGGACGCTTGCTTTATTTCCAAACAGGTTCGGAAATGAAGTCGGGAGCCGGGCTGGAAGCAGGTACGGAAGGAGACATGAGAACTCGCCCGGGCTGGGAGGAAGGGACCTCTGGGCTAGCGGGGGAGGGACTCTAAAGGGGTAGGGAGGCCCTGTGCAGGCCACTAACTTTTCTGCCCTCCCCCCCACCCCATCTCCAGGCCTTAGTGCAGCCAGAGCAGGGAGAGGGACTCCCAGCCAGTTCCAGTCTAGAGACCCCAGAGAACTATCTCCCGTCATCACTGCCAGAATCCACAGGCTACTTGCAGTCCCGGACACTGGCTCCACCACCCCCCTCTCTGTTCCTCCCATCCTGGCTCTTCGGAAACCCCGGGTCTTCCCCTCTGGGGTCAGGTCGCCCTTGGCCTGGCCTCCCTCTGTTTCCAGGCTCTCCCGACTCTTCCCTCTTCCCAGCATCATCACCAGCTTGGCCATGCTTCCCAGAAAGCCAGGGCCTCCCAGCCCCTGGGCCTGCATAATCCATGCTAATCCATGCTTTCTGCTCCTGCTGCTTCCTCCCCCACCCCACCCCCACCTCCTGCCTGCCTTCCCCCCACTGAAGTGCCCTCCGGCCACTCATCGGACTGAGGCTGCTGGGCAGTGCCTCCCTCCCCAGGGGCTCAGCAGCAAGGGGGTCCTCGGGCTCCCAGGGTTGAGTTGCTCCGTCTTAGGACCACGCACGAGACAACTGCCTCCACTCTCCAAGCAGAAACCCAAAAAAAGAATCAGGACATGGCAAGCCAGACTCCCTGGGGCTGACCAGCGCCATGAGGAAGATGTGGGGGTCCTCTGCCACAGTGACCCTGAAGGAACTAGGGCTCTCCAGTTCCTGCATCAAGCTCCTTGGGGGGACCACACACCCTCCTTTCTGGGTGGATATGCCCCTTTAAGAGCACCAAAGGGGCACAGGCAAGCTCCCAGAGGCAGTCCAGACAGTTTCGGATTCCTGCGGTTTTCTCCATCGGAGCCACCCCTGGTGCTGGAAGTGGTGTCCCCTTCCTGTCTCCATGTCACCTGTCTGTACACACTCATCGGCAGCTCCCTGACACCTTCTTTCCTGGCTGAGACTCCTCGTGCCTAGTTCCCCTCCTTGGGAGCAGGGGAGGCTGAGCAGGAGGACAGCCCCTTCCTCCAGCCCCTCTCCATTGGAACATCCAGTGGGACAGCCTGCCCAGGCAGCCTCAGCCAGCCCACACAGTGAGCTGCAGAAGGCCTGCCACCCCAGTGGTCCCCCTGTTCCCAGCAGACCCTCTCTCCCTGCCCCGCTTGCCCCCTCGAGACAGTTCTCCACATAAGACCGTGTCCTTTAACAAGGGAAGGAAATGTGGCCTCACAGGATGCCAGAGTCATAAGTCACCTTAGATCCTGTCGCCTGGTCCTCTAGGGAGACAGGAGAGACATCAAGGCCTGGAGAGCTTAAGGATCCTCCCACCCTCATCCTTTGGCTTTGAGCTCACTAAGATGAGACTGGAATTTTTCCAAGGAGACCTACTAGGAATCAAGGAGGAACCAAATCAAACCCAGATTAATAAAATTCAAAACCACAGAACCAATGAGCTTCCAAAGCCATTTTCCTTACCTAACAGAATTTAAACCCAAAGACAGAAATCATCTATGTACCAAAGCAAGCTCACAGGTCTGACTGAGGTCCACTGCGGTCAGGTCCCCTTTGTCACTCCTGACTGTGGACACCAACCCAGGCGCCTCCCATTTTTAACCCCTGAGTATTCTCCACACTCCCCTTCTCCTGTCCCCTCTCCTGCCACTCTCACAATGGTCTCGGCCACCAGCAGGCCCATGAAGAGTGCCCTGTTGTCCACATCCAGCCTGGCCGCCACCAATATGTGCCCCAGGTGCCTGCTTCTCCTGGGAGGAGGGCACCCACCACCCAGCTGCTCCTCCAGGGGCCAGGGTTGGAGGGGTTCTTCCTCTCTTCCTCGATTTAAAGCAAAGAACAGCAAGGAGAGGCTAACTCACAGCCCAAGACAAAGCCCTAGACATCCCACACTAACAATGTGGGGCAGGTTAGGGGGCAGGGAGCTCAGGCTCTAGAAGGAATTTCCTTCCTACTCAAGGTTCTGACCTCGCTACGTTTCTTATACCCCTCGAGAAACGGGAACAAACACTTGACTAGGGCTGGCTCAGCTTCAAGGCCTTTCCTTGCCATTCACACATCAAAGCCCCTGTAACCAACCCGAGGTGGACACGTAAGGATCCCATTTTAGAGATAGGAGAGGTGAGATAAGGTGCTCAGAAAATGGGCTAGCGTCTGGGCTGTCTGGGGCACGTGAACTTTGGAGGATGTTGTGTGATGCAGCAGACGGAGCTGGAAAGCAAGAGGAGGCCTGCATTTGCCCTGGCCTTCTGCAGCTGTGTGTCCTTGACCGAGTCATGAAACCTCTCTGGACCTCAGTGTTTCCATCTGTAAATGGGAGGCTTGCACCCAGCAGGCCCGTAAGGCCTCCCTGCACCCCAGTTTTCTAATTCTATTCCCAGTGGGCTATTCAGGGCTCCAAATCCTGTATTCCAGCCCATAGGCAGCCACAGAAGGGCCAGGGCTGTCTGGAAGAGCGCACCCGCCCCCCACAGACCCTCCCCATCCACATCTCCACCAGGCTAGGGCACCAAATAGATAAAGTCAGCAGGGAATGAGGGCTTAGACAGTTGTAATTCTGGGCCTCTGGCAGGGAGGGCTACCAGGATGCCTGGGGACTGGCGGGGAAGGAGAAGGAGCAGGACAGGGGGTGGGGGGCTCAGAAAAAGAAGCATTTCTCCTTAGAGAGATGGGGGGAGCTGAGACCCTGACCACCCCCCATCCTTGCACCTTGGGCCTCTGGGAGCTGCTACTCGGATGCCCAGCAGGCCCGTGAGGCCTCAGGCCCAAGAAGCTGGTGGTTCCTGTCCACCCTCTATTCCTGGGAACGGGAAGAGAAGGAGAGCACAAACCAGGCAAACAAGGGAAGTGACCATAGTCATTTAAAAAAAAAACGAAAAAAAAACAAACAACCCAGGACTTTCTACTCTCCAGCCACCACATGATAGACTGTTCTTGGTTTAGTACAGAAGGGAGCTAAATGACACCCCAGCCTTGACCCCCCATTCCCTGTGTCTGCTTGCCTCCCTCCCAGCCCACCACTGCTCCCCTCTTCCCCAGTCCCTCCCACCCCCTCCTCCATCCTGAGTCCCACTGGACTTGACCCCTGTTGGACTCTGCCTGGGGCCCCCCAGGCCCCCATCAAGGCACTTCCCAGGAGGGCCTGAGTGCAGGAGTCTGGCCCCCCCACCTGGCAGAGGCTTCACCCGAGGAAACTGGGTAAGGCCCTGGTGGGGAGAGTGGGCTGTCCCCGATGTCTCATGGGCTGTGCCTGCTTCTCTCCCACAGAGTCTGTGCCGATGGCCGTCATCATTGGGGTGGCCGTAGGAGCTGGCGTGGCCTTCCTCGTCCTTATGGCAACCATTGTGGCCTTCTGCTGTGCCCGCTCCCAGAGAAGTACGGGAGGGAGACCCGGGATCTCAGGGAGGGGGACAGAGAAAAAGGCCAGGCTTAGACTGCTCCGGAGAGCAAGTAAGCAGGAGTGCCGTGAACAGGGGACCCTGACCGTGCTGTGAGCTGCTGGGGTAGGGATGGGTCTTGGGCGTCGGCTTACGTGCCACGCTGTGCGTAGTGTCCAGCATGTAGTGGGCGCGCAGCCGACATGGAACTGGACTGATCTGAACTCGGCCAGCACTGGGGATTGAACACCTATGGCTGGCTCCACCCGTAGAGAACTCTGGGAGGGGGTTAGGGGAGAGGTGACTTGATTCTTGCCTTCCAGGGTCTGCTAGTCTAACCAGAAAAGCAGGCCATCTACATGGGTGCGGGGGAAGGATTCAAGGAATCCCTTTGTGAAGCCTTTAAAGATCTGCAGTCACTAGCCCTAAAATTCTGGCGTTCCTACCCTCTTGAGGAATCACGGATGCCTGGAGTTTCATCCCGAGTGCAGCTCTGACCTTACGTGTCAAACACAGATGGGCGGAAGTATGAAATGAGATAACTGAGTGGAGGAAACCAATGGAGGCACAGGATTCTAGCCCTACCTTTTTCTGTCACGTGTGCCTGGGCAGGCCACAACTATTCTAGGCCTCAGTTTCCCTGTGTGTAATAGTAAGGCTGTGCATGATGAGACTTTTAGGAACCCGCTGGCTCTAACCCTCAATGATCCTAAGGCACTACATGAATAACCAGAGGAAGCCGACTCCCTCCTCCACTTGGATCTGTTAGAAGAAAGCGGGGGCGCCTGGGTGGCTCAGTGGGTTAAGCCTCTGCCTTCGGCTCAGGTCATGATCCCAGGGTCCTGGGATTGAGCTCCGCATTGGGCTCTTAGCTCAGCAGGGAGCTTGCTTCCCCCTCTCTCTCTGCCTGCCTCTCTGCCTGCTTGTGATCTCTCTCTCAAATAAATAAAATCTTTAAAAAAAAAAAAGAAAGAAAGAAAAGAAAAGAAAAAGAAGAAAGCGGGATGTCCCCTGCTAGGTTCCCTCCACTCGAAGCCTAGCAGCCGTGGCTCTCTGGCCCATCCCCAGTGATGTGGTCTTGGAAGCTCCTCCAGCACCCTCTCAGGGGAAATCAGAGGGAGCACGTTTTAGCAAGAGTCTTCCAACAGAGCTCCCCAACTGTAAATCAGCCGCATCCCCAGAGGCTGTGAAGTCTTCACCACGGAAGCCGTGACCCGAGAGCTGGACCGCCACATGCCGGGGATGTGACTGCTTTGGGTGGGGGGTGGACCCTGGGAACCCGAGACCCCTTGTGACAGTAAGATTAGTGATTCTCCGAATGGAAACAGAAGAGCCCGGTAGAGTAGGCCACGGAAGACTTCTGGAAGGAGGACAGAAAAGACCTAGCTCTGTAAGGCAGACAAATGGACAAGAGTGGCCGCTCAAGGCAGGGTGGCAGCAGTGGAAGGCCAGCGTGCTCCTAACACGGCCCCCAGAGAAAGAAAGCTGAAGCCCCAACAGCCCACAGCACATCCAGACAGGTGTCCCACTGGGGCAGGGGGTGCGGTGGGGATGACCTGGAAGCTACTACTGAGTTCAGGGGCTGGAGGGTGAGCCCTGGGGACAGCGGTGGGGGTAGGGGTAGGAGTGACCCTTCAGGCCCTGACGCCTGAGGATGAGGACTAAACCTGTTATCTGTGCTTTCCTGTTTCACGTCCAGATCTCAAAGGGGTTGTGTCAGCCAAGAATGACATCCGAGTGGAGATTGTCCACAAGGAGCCTGCCTCCGGCCGGGAGGCCGAAGAACATCCCACCATCAAGCAGCTGATGGTGAGAATGCCATCTTATCCCCACCCCATCCTGACCTCTTTGCCCCGAAGGTCCTGGTTCCAGAGGCTTCTTGGCGGCCCGGAAGCTCCCGAGAATTAGAGCATCACTCAGGATGTGCCCTCCCCTCATAATAGGTCAGGCACCCACTAAACCTTGGGTGCCTCCAAGAGTTCTTGTCTGTCTGCTGCATTGCTCTTGATGTCCTGGAGACTCAAAGCCATCTAAGATGCCGTCCCAGCTTTCAAAAAACCTGTTCAGTAGAGAGACAAGACACGTATAACATGCCATGATATGTTGTCACTCAGTACATGATTATACTGAACATGCTAGACAGTCCGGACATGTCCTGCCCCTCCCCCTTCCGAGCCCCAAAAGTCTGCAAGAAACACAAGTTCTTCTTCAGAAACCAGAGTGCTTACCAGAAGCACACTCGTAACTTTTTCAGCAAACATAAGCCTGCCCCTCCTCTTCTTGATTCTTGTTCATAGACCATAATCCACCCAGCTTTACAAGAAGGAACCTGGAAAACTGTGCTGAAAATCTCTAGTACATACTGGGTCATGGTTCAAATACGTAGGAGGAGCAGCAGCAAGCCCGGGGGTGTGGAGCACAGGTCTCTCTGTGCCTCAGTCTCCCCACCTGTGAAGCAGGGATGAAAGTCATAGTGCACAGGGCCATGGTGAATGAGGAAACCCATAAAGGGCTTGAAGCCTGTGGAACATAGTAAGTGCTCAGGAAATGTTGGCCGCTGTGTTGCTGTGAAATCACCTGTTTCCTTATCTGTCTCCACTAGATGGTGAGCGAGCTGTCTTGTTCAACCCCGTGTCCCCGGAGCCTCGCTGGTGGAGGCTCACCAAGGTTATTGAGTTGAACTGACATTTTCCTCCCCGGTCTTTTTCTTTCCAAATCTCATTCTCTGGTCCTTCCAATTGCACTTCAAAAACCTCAAATGTGCACCCTTGCCCCAGTCCCCTTATGACTGCCCTATTGGAGCCTCATCGTGGCTCCTTGGACTAGGACCACAGCCTAGTGGTCTCACCACCTTTTTTTTTTTTTTTTTTAACCACCTTATTCAATCCACCCTCCAGAGTCCCACAGAAAGGGTCCTTCTAGAGCGCAAATCATATCCTGTTACTCTCCTACTTAATATTCCTCAGTGCCCCCCCCTCCCGTCTACTAAAGTCCAACCACCAAGCATGTCATCAGGCCCATCACTGAGAGGCAGCTGCTGGCCTTTCCAACTCCATCTTCCTACTAAATGCACCTACTAAATGGGCCTCCAGACACCCCAAAAACTTGCTGTTCCTGGCTTTTGAGTCTTTTATACCTCGAGGCTTTGTACAGGCTGTTACCACTGCCTGTTGATTTTGCTTGTTGAATTTCACATTCTTCTAGGAGAATCAGCTCAAACGTCACTTCCTCCGTAATTGTCCACGTTTGTCCGCCCCCCACACTCCCACTGCTGGCAGAGCTGCACACTTCCTGCTCTCCTCAAACACGTTGCACGCTTCTCTTTTATTGCATTGCTCGGATTAGACGTCAGCTCCCCAATTAACTCAGAGTTCCAGAAGGACACATTCCCAAATCTATGTGTGTCTGTTTCCCCAGGCCAAACACCAGTGTCTAACCCAGGGGAGCAATTAATCTTACAGGCATGGAAGCCAGAGCCTAGATCACGCAAGAAGCAATGGATGTCTCTGTAGATGAGCTTCATCAAGGCTGGAGCGAAGCATCCCGGCCTATCCTTCTTCCCAAACAGGACCTTGAATTCCCTCCCATTGGGACATTCTGATTGCCTCAGAATGCCTCCACACCCTGCAATCCAAACCTTCGAGAAAGAGTGGGGGTCACTCAGTAGTCAGTTAAGAGGGTGTGTATGGTTGGGTGGGGGGAGGGACTTTGGCAGAGGGACCTGCTGAGAGCCTCCCCTCCCCAACACATGCCCTCCACCCCCTGGCCCCTGTAAAGCCCCAGTGTTGATGAGAGGCAGGCTTAGAAGTTGAATCTGGTGGGAAAGCCCTCCGATCCAGGCTGACCCACAGCATTCACCGGGAAATGAAAGAAGCAGCATCAGCGAGGGCAAAACAGAACGGAAACCCTCTGGCTGATGCCATGAGGCTCCAAAAAGAGACCGAGAAAGTGAGTCACAAGGGAGAAGAAACATCCCAGCTCAGACAGTGGGTGGGAGGCTGTCCTAGATCATGTCATATGCAGAAGTGACACCCGGGAAGCATCTTTGTGCCGCAGGATAAGCGTCACTGTGGTTCTCCAGATTTATGTACCCACCGTGTGCCAAGCATGCGTGATTTTCCACCTTCCATCTAACTGTTATTTTCATTTTCAGTGATCGAGAGCTATGCCCTTCCATTCATTCCTGCAACACAAACGTAACATTTGTGACAGCCCTATGGTCTCTCAGGCACTAGGCTAGGCAGGACAAATCAAATCAGTTACCTGTGATTCCATCCCCAAAGCATTTTGGTCATGACCACAATAGACAAAGTGCTGTGCCAGGCCTGTGGGGACCTAAAGAGAAGCTAGAAGTGATCCTTGCCCCGAGGCTCTTTGGCCTCTGTTAGGAAGATAACGTTTGGCACATCAAAGTCATTGCTATAATAACAGGTATGGCCCCTGTTGGGAGCATCTCACAGGTAGGCCTGCATGGTGGTTCTTTCCTGAGACCTTCCCTGAGCCTAGCACTGGGTGATGAGCTGCCCTGCTGGGACCCCAGCCCGTGCCCTCTGAACCCAGAGGTTCCATAACTATCTGTCTACAGACCCAGCTCCCTGTGGTGTACTGCTCTATCTAATGACCCTCGATGTGCCTATGCCTGGCCTGAAATTCAGTAAATGCTCAATGAATGAAATTGACTCCTCCAAGTGAGACCTCTAGACGGGATGCCCTAGCCCAAGGGAAAAAGCGTGGTCTCAGCAAACTGCCCCTCCCCTCACCCCCCCACCCCGCTCCTCCTGTCTCTCCCTGTCTCTCAGGACAGGTGTCCAGGAACAATGAGGACATCTGGACTCTCCCTCTCACTCCTCTACCTGCCTTCCACGGGCCAGGCAGTGAGAGGAAGGGGGCAGGGGGAGGCACAAACGGCAGGCTTCTTTTGAGTTCATTCCTCTATCTTCTCCTGGATGCTTAGCCCACATCCAATCCACTGAGCAGCCATTTTTGGGTTGTAGATGGACCGGGGTGAATTCCAACAAGACTCAGTACTGAAGCAGCTGGAGGTTCTCAAAGAAGAGGAGAAGGAGTTTCAGAACCTGAAGGTAAGAAGGTCCAGCTGTGGGATTCTGACTTCAGCTCTGATGCCTAAGCCCCAGATCCAGACAAACAATGACCAGAAACCAGGAGGCCAGAGGTCACCTGGAGCACAGGTGCCTGTTCTCTCCCTGAGATGGGTGGCTCGTCTGCCCCAGGAGAGAGGGAAGGCTGAGGTCTCGCTGTCCTTCTCTCCCACGGCTTCCTCACAAGCACAATTTTAAAAATTAACTATCCCTGTTCTGGACAAAAACAAAAAACCCTTCAAGTCGGCTTCTCAGCGGGCTTTGCACCCCCCAGGACCTAGCGACCCATCGCCCTTGGAGCGCCCCCTGTCGCATCCCTTCGGGATCTCGCCTCCCCCACGGCCCGTCTCCCCCAACCCCCCACCCCTGCACTCAGCTGCCGGTTCCAGCCACACCGCTGTATCCCCAGCTGTCCCCTTCCTTCCTGGGTCGGGGAGGACCAGCTGGGCCTAGAAAGGCCCGGCCGTGGTGGGCGCCAGGCTGTGCCCGCCCGGTGACGCTGCTGTCGCTCCGGCCCCCTTCCAGGACCCCACCAACGGCTACTACAGTGTCAACACCTTCAAAGAGCACCACTCGACCCCCACCATCTCGCTGAGCAGCTGCCAGCCGGACCTGCGCCCCGCCGGCAAGCAGCGCGTGCCCACGGGGATGTCCTTCACCAACATCTACAGCACCCTGAGCGGCCAGGGCCGCCTCTACGACTACGGGCAGAGGTTCGTACTGGGCATGGGCAGCTCCTCCATCGAGCTGTGCGAGCGGGAGTTCCAGCGGGGCTCCCTCAGCGACAGCAGCTCCTTCCTGGACACGCAGTGTGACAGCAGCGTCAGCAGCAGCGGCAAGCAGGACGGCTACGTGCAGTTCGACAAGGCCAGCAAGGCCTCCGCCTCCTCCTCCCACCACTCGCAGTCCTCTTCCCAGAACTCCGACCCCAGCCGACCCCTGCAGCGGCGGATGCAGACTCATGTCTGAGGATCCCAAACCGGGGCTGGGGAGGGCTGCAGGGGCGCGGGGGTGGGGGGTGGGGAACAGGGTCGTGCCACCTGCTGGCTCTCCATTGACTGTGGGTGCGTTGCAGAGGACCCCAGAACCGGCTGCCTCCAGGATAACCCCCCGCCCCCCCGGAGGGCCTTGGCCACCGCCCTGCTCCGAAGCCCTGATCAAGCACAAACCCCGGTCCCTAGCTGCTGCGTGCCAGACGGGCGGGCGGGGTCGCGATTCGAGGATGCAGCTGAGTGCTGTGCTGTGCTCTGTGCTGGACACTCCGGTCCCAGCCCTTTCCTGGAGTCCCACCCCCACCCCCACTATAGGCGCTCGAGGCAGCTAGAACTTGGCTTTCATGAAACTGCCGTCCACTCTCCGGCCTCCCCGTGAGCTCTACCCCTTGCTGCCCACAGCCCTCCCCTGTGCCTGTTGCTCCTCCACAGTCCCAGGGAGGGGGGATGAAGCGCTTTCCAGCACTGAGCTTTCCCCCCAGCGCCCCCTGCTGCTCAGAGCCCAGACCCTGGATGCTGAGAAGCCAGAAAGGGCCCCGGAGCATCTCTCCCACCACACTGACCGTCAGCCCACCCCAATTTGTTAGGTGTTTTGTGTCCATATTCTTGCAGTTCTGTCCTTGGACTTGAGGCCTCTGAACTCTGAGGTGGGACTGGCCCCGGCAGGGACAGGTGTCCTGGGAGGGAGAGGGAGAGGCAGGAGGGAACATGGGCGCACCTGGGGAAACTTGCCCACCACTCCCCTCACCAGGCTGTGCAGTTCAGAGGCTCCCCACCCACCCCTGCTTCCTGTACTGCCTTCCTCCCCTACAGCACAGTCGGAGTTAATATAAGAAGTGTGAGAGCTTCTCTGGGCCGGGGTTCTTCCAACTGTCATTGCAGAGAGCATGTCCTGGAGCACGTAGGGCTTAAGGGGACTAGAGGTCAGGTCCTTGAAATGATGAGACTTCCCTTCTCAGCTGCTGAATCTCTAGGGGCCTAGATCCACACAAGGAACCATGGTCCTGCCTTCAGTAGGGCTCCAGGGGCAAGAGAGAAAGTCCATCTACACATCACCCCCCCCACCCACTCACCACCTGAAAATAAATGTTAGGGCCGTTACACCACCATATCCGTTCTGTCCTTTTGTTCCTGCAGAGCCGCGCGGGAAGAGTCAAGAACTCCGAGTATGATCTGGGAACACAAGGTTCTTTGCCCTCTGATTCAGTTGTCCTAGATAATGGAAGCAGGTGATGGTTCTGGTATTAACCGCACCCACAAGCAGGCTCCCTCCCCAGACGGTGTGCAAAGGCAGGACCCATGCCAAATACAGCATGGAGGCAACGTGGTCGTACTGGGCTTTGGAGGGGTCATTCTAGGCCTTTCTCTCGGTGATGTTCTGCAAGGGAAGCTCCCTCTGTCAGGGGTTCAGGGCAGGAGGCTCTCTTCAAAGAGCCTATGCCACTGAGCTCCCTAACACTCTGAGCTTTAATTAATGTCCAAATGGCCTTGTTTGAACGGAAGACTCCAGGTAGTGATGGCAGACCAGATGGGATGGACAGATAGGGGCAAGTTAGAATGTTGACAGTGTGGCAGGATCCAAAGGGAGCTTTGGAAAACGCAGTGTCCCTAAGGTTGGAGGTCCCTCCTAGGTTAGGCCCCTTCTTGTCCAACCTTCCCCAGTAATCCTTCCCCGTCATAGGAACCTGTACTCAAAAGTCTGTCCTTCTTTCCATATGTACTGATTCCTTGGATGGCCCCAACCACAGATTCTATACATAACATTCATAACTCCTCCACCCAGAAGAATGTCCTCCTTCTACCATATTTCCTATTGCCTCAAAATTCCCCAGTTCCCTAGATAACTTCCTTTGCAGCCCCCATGCCCAAGAGAGTAGAAACTGATAAGAAATGTAAATGTATATCCCAGTCCACATCCAGCTCCTAGTGCCGTTCTGGCCCCACATGGATGCCGGGATATTGGCCCCTGTGCTCTCTAGGTCAACCTTGACAAGGCTGCTTCTTTCCTGGACATGTTTTGCTTCCGCCAGCAAGGAACAAGGATCTAAGACCATATGCAAGGTGGTGTGCTGTGCTGGAAGAGGATGACTCAAAGATTAGTCCATTAATTCCTCCCAGCCTTCCCCACCTCAAAGGAGGGTGACACCTGCCTCCTAATTTTCACCACACCTCCCTTGTCCCTTACCCTTTGCCCCAGTCACATACACATACGTAGTTCTCATAAAAGGGTCTCCACCCATTCTTTCCTAGAATCTCAGGTCATGACAGCATAACCAGAAGATCAAGTGAGAACTCTGTTCTCCCGTAGAACAGAAGGAGCTCTCTCCCTCTCGAGCTTCAGGCAGTCGGGATAAGGATGTGAACTATCATGGCAGCAAGCAGAGAGCACAGGGGCTGTGCTACCAACACCTGGCCACGCAGAGCCCAACCCCACGAGCTCTCCCCAATGCACGAATCCAGCAAAGAACTGCTGAAGGGATAGGAGGTCCCAAGTAAGATCTTGGCAAAAGAGAAGAACAGAGAGGGGGGGACATTAGCAACATCTGAAGGCTTCTGGAAGGTCGAGGCCTTGAGAAGGAGCCTAGACTGCACTCCGTGCCCACCGAGGTTGTCCCCAGCCCTATTTCCTTCTCGCAGAACAGTGAGGGCACAAAAAGCTGGTAAAGGGAAGGGTTAAAAAAGGTTTGGAGGCAGAGGGAAGCCCTGGGTTCTCCTGTAGGTGATTTCAAATGAACTAAAATTAGCGCTCTACATTTGTAATCTTATTTAACCTTCATAAAGGATCACCATTTTACAGACGAGGGCATGTGGCTTCAAGAAGCCAGAAGATTTGCCCAAGGTCACAGGGCTAACAAGTGGCAAACTTGTTATACACACACGAGCTCCCCTGTAAAATGTCTCCATCCAAAACACAAACTCAAGGCCACTGTCATCCTAGAATATGATGAAAATGGCCAACGGTAAAGGCTACCTGCTGGTTCCCACCCCGGGGTGGGAGTGGGGGGGACAGGCTAATAAGCAAGGAGAAACCACGGCTCCATTAGGAAGGGACTGGCGTACTCCACCTCCAGTCCCCAGACGACCTGGAAAGCCCGCACTCCCGGGAAAACAAAGCTATTCTGTGTATCCAGTCACCCCCACCACTTCCACCAAGACCAGTATCCAGTTTTCTGATAGCTTTAAAATTCATTATTGGCTCCCAGTCCCTGGATGGGAGCCCGGTTTCTGATTCTCAGGCTCGCTATCAGTCTGGATAGCCCAGGGTCATTTCCAGTACCTCTTCGACTTTCATGGAACAGGAAGCACTCTCACATGATGAACTAGAATACCACAGCAAATCCGTTTCTGATGAAGATGATTGAAACAAGGGCTCTAAAGTAATAGGCCTCGAAGCTGCCTTTAAGCTTCCGGAGTGGAGAGGACTCGGGGAAAAGAAAATAAACATGAGGCCGTCCTTGGGAGGCTTCTCAGAACAGGAGAAAAGGAGCCAATGGAATTCCATTTCTCACTGCCTGTATGGGAGGCACACAGGGGGGTGTAAGACATGTGCTATTATGGAATTTGAACTGAAATCCCAAGGTACACACCCCAGGTTCCATTAGCTCTGCCCAGGTATCATGTGTGTGGTTTGTGGTTTACAAGGTCACCAGAAAAAAGAAGACCAAGGGCGAGGGGGGGTCCTGCCATTAGTTGATGCTCTAGGAAGCTTCCCCACCAAATAAACTCTTTATTAAAATTAGAAGTATAAGTAATTTAAATAAAAACGATCTTAATTTGCATAGAGATTTTTATTTAACATACCACTTGCTGTACCTATTTAAAGACAAAGGACATCTCAGCTAAATCTTAAATTTTACTTCCCTTTTACAAAAAGTCTTATAAAAACCTCTAACCTAAGTTGTTTTTAGGAGCTGTAACTGCACACCAGCCATTTATTTGCAACTTTAACATCAAAATTACCAGCAGTCTTTGAGAATCACTGATAAAGAGCTCTCACTCTGATGGTTACTTCTTGTTAGCAGTAAGGCTCCAATCATCTTTTCCCCAACCCCTTTATGTTTCCGTCTTTCTAACTAGGTCATAAAGTGGGGAAAATGAGAAAATTTTAAGCTAGTCATCTGTCTAAAAATAAAGATTTGTTTCCCTGGATGAATACATTCTTGGTATAAGGAAAGGAGGACTATCCGTTCTGTCTCTCTAACTCCTATTCCTCCTGGGTCCATCTCCCCCTCCTCTCTAAGGGCTAAGTCTTTGACATACGCTAAAAGCTTTCATTATCACAGGCCCTGTGGGTTTCTTCACTCCTACACAACCCTCATCTTAAAAAGGCCTTTTGTGAACACATGCCATTCACAAGCGGCATCGATGAATTGTGACCACATCCCCGCTGCCACTCCATGTCCCCAGAGCCCCTCTCTGGGACAGCCCACCCCCATGGCCAGGACATCCTCAACCCCTGAGCTGGCTGATCAGGGACCCTGAGCTATGCAAAGCTATCTCTTTCCTTTGCTTCTTAACCTTTGGCCCTTGAAAAAAAATATTTTTTTAAGATTTTATTTATCTATTTGTCAGAGAGAGAGAGAGTGCACAGGCAGGGGGAACAGCAGGCAGAGGGAGAAGCAGGTTCCCCGATGAGCAGGGAACCCAATGCGGGACTTGATCCTAGGACCCTGGGATCATGACCTGAGCCAAAGTCAGATGCCTAACCGACTGAGCCACCCAGGCGTCCCAGGCCTTGGACATATTTTGGAGTGCTAGGAAACCATTTAAATAATGCTCCGTTTTAACTGTCCTGTGTCATGAATCTAATTAATTAATGTTCAAAGACAAGGTAAATGGAGACTCAGGAAACAGGCCTTCTTTGGAAGAATCTGGGTCTTAATTAACTGGGGCTTCTTCCGAAATCTGTTACCAATTATGCAAGGGTACAAGTGCTACTGAGAAAAGGAGCTGAGTATGGGGATTCATCCTCTTGAAGGTCACCTTCAGTTAGGCAAAGACATTGTCAGGGGGATTAAATTAACAGATACCACTTTCACCCCTTTGTAAATTGTAAATTTGACCAGTAGGCAGTGTATTCGTTACACTATTGGACATCGCATTTGGGAGAAATACTGAATGAAGGAGGAATTTTCTGATAAGAACCTCCTCTCTTTTAATTTAAAAGTTTCTCTAGCTCTCCTGCCATGTGCGCCTACAGCAGTGGGACAGAAACCTACCGAGAAGAAGAACTGGGTACCATCTCCCTACCAGACTCTTAACTTCTACTTTTGTGTGAGGTCCCCCCCTCCCCGGAGAGAAACACATTTTTAAGCAAGAGAAGATACTCCTTAAGTGTTAAAGTTGGTGATGTGTGTAAATAGTGTTTTAGGAAGCCTCAGAATAATAGATAGTTCTGGAATAGCTTAGTTCAGTAATTCCAACTTCTATCCCCTAGGGTGATTTCAACATCTGAGCCTTCTCTCATTCCCTCCGCCCAGCTCCACCCACCCGGGTCGTGCCACATTCTTGAGAGAAATCTGTGTCTCTGCTGAGCGGTGGGTGGGCTTTAAATTGTTGGTCTTCTCCAGGAACCTAAAATCACCCCCAACAGTCTTTTCCCCAAATAAACTTTCGTCATACCCTCTGTGCTGACCCTCCCGGACAGGGCTGTGGTCTCGGCCACCTGCTCCCACCTTCTCCGTAATCACTTTCATGAAGTGGAGACTTCCAATGCATTTGGGCTCCCCCCACCAAATCTGACACCTAATGAGCTTCGAGGTTCATTTCTCGGGCACAGGATCCCCCAAGGGTCTCACTGCCAAAGAACTGGACCAGAAAACAGGCTATCACTACAGACACTCACCATATATCCCTCCCTAGACTTTTAAGCTGGAAAATTTTCCTGGAACCATGTCTGGGTGCAGAACCATGGGAATGCTCAAAACGAACACATAGTTGTCTGAAGCTATAATTAAGACATCGAAAAGGTCAGAGGGTCTAGAGGAGAGCATCCCAACTCTGAGATTGACCTTGTCTACCTTTGCTTAGGAACCCCTTCTGGAATGCCATCAAAATGGGTCATGTTGCCCAAGAAAGCACTTTCTCCAAAGACCCCTGAAGGCATCTGACTTCAGCTTGAAAATCACTGCCAGAGAGCAGTATGAACTCACTGTTCACTGTTTGATTATGCAAAGCCTGCATCTGAGTCATTTCGCCAATGTCGTACTTGTTGTGGGTGATTTGAAGACAAAGACTTTTCTGTATGTTACTCGGTAACTGCGCAAGTATTTTGGCCTTCCAGATGTATCCCTCACCTGTTTCATATGTTTTCCGGGATTTTCCATCACGCAAGGCAGCTTTCCAATCTAATATTTATATCATACTTTACAGTCTGCACAATGTTGTCACAACCATATTCCCATTAGATCCTTAAAACCTCACTGTGACACAGGCACGCGTGACACAGATGGAGGAGCAGAGGTGTACTTGGCTAATTACATGACAGCAGGGAGAACCCACGATCGGACCATCCGTATTTTTTGTGCACTACATCTTGCCGCCTCAAAGACAGAACTGTTTCCGAGCTCAAATTTTTTCATAAGCTAGACAGCCTCTGGGGTAATGCAACTGGATGTACTTATGTCCTCAGAAAGTGTAAATAAAAACCCGAAGTGTCCAAAATTAAGGCAACACCATGTGATGTGAATAGAATATCATTTATTTAAATGTGCCCCTGAGCTACATTAAAGGCCTGAACTCTGTCTGACCCAGCTAGGCGGTCGCGCTGGGGATCCCTTCACTTCTCCGGGCCTCAGTTTCCCCCTCTGTCCACACTGGATGCAAATCTCTTCCACTCCCTCGCGGTCCAAGTCCCTTTCGCCCAGGCCTCTGAGGTGAAGTCAACGTAGGTCACGTGAAGGAGGCCCAGCCGGAGGCAGAGGAGCCCTGGTTTACACCGGCTGAGCAAACTCGGGCAGAGGGGCGCAGATCCCCCAATCCGACCAGGTCTCCCTCTGCAGCCGTCGCCAGGCCCTGAGCCGGTTGCCAGGGAGGCGCCGGCCTCAGAGGAGGCGGGGCGCTGGGGTGAGTGCCCCAAAGGACTCCAGGGTGGACTGCGGGAGGTCGCCGCCCGTCCCCACCCGGTTCCCACCCTGGCCAGCGTAGCCACCCCCCTGCCGCCACCGCACTCCGCCCTACAACCCGCTCCTGCGACGCATGCGCACCCGGGCCTCCGCCCCAGCCGCTGGGGGCGGGGCAAGCCCAGCGCCGTAGCTTCTCCGCTGCCTGTAGGCCAGCGGGAGAGAAGCGCGCGTGCGCCTAATCAACACCGTTCAAGGACGCCAGGGATTAGGTTGGGCTGTGCGCGCAGACCAGACCCTGGAGTTGAGAGAGGCCGTGAGCTCATCCTGGAGTCTAGACTGCTGGAGCAGTGATGCTGGATGCTTGTTAAATTTCCAGATTCCTGGGCCGCCTCCCCCGCGGCCTGGATAAGACCCAGGTATGCATTCTTAAATCACCCCCAGATGGTTCTGGTGTAAGTGGCCCTCAATGGCTGGACCACCCTCCTGGCTCAATCAATGTAGGAATCGGACGGAGCATAGACATGGAGAAATGACTGACCCACGGTCGTACAGAATGACATGCCAGAGCCCTGTATCGAACCCGGATGCGTAGACTTGCACTCACATGCTTTCGCATCTTGTTCCCTACTTCCCCTCCTGACTCATTTTCAGGGCACGTTTGTTTAATCAGTACCAGGCAGACAGGGAGGCAGTTAGTTCATTCTCACTGGTTGAGCTAACGGAAGAACGACAGTCCTTTTCTCAGAACACCGAAAAACCCCATCCAGCCGCTCCAAATCAAAGCTCTACTCCCCGTTCTGACTCTGACATTGGACCGGTACTAAGGCACCCTGCAATGTGCCTTGGGGCTGGGGCACACTGGAGAGAGCTGAGCCCACCCAAAGGAACAATGGCCAGTCTAGATGTGTCTGTCCCCTCCCCTCTCAATCATGAAATTCGCTGCATATGGCATCAGAAGCGTAACCCAACAAGAATGTAAAACGTTCCCTCGTCTATATGCATGTGTGTGGAGTTTGGGGGGGGGCAGGGGTGGGGGGTCTGACCCATCCCTGTGTGCTCGATTCTGGCTCAAGTTTAGGAGTGTTCAGTAACAGGCAGTGGCCCCAGTCCAGGACAGCTGGATCGTATGTGCTGACAGCTACTTTCAATGGCCCTGGATGGGGAAATGGACACTCCCTTGCATACCCTCACAAGAAGCTGCTGGGCAGGCATCAGGGATAGGCAGAACTCAGATCCCTGCACACGTTCACACCCCTGCTGGAGTCAACAGGTTGTCCCCCACTCCCCCACCCCACAACACCCAGGTCAAAGCCTGGGAGACAAAGCTTACCCCCCTGTAGAGTGGAGAGGGCTAGGGGCTGCAGAGGCTGGGGCCGTATTTGCTTTCAGACTCCCCCTCTCCCCTAGGGAGAGCACGGTTAGTGGTTAGCAATAGAGGCAATTCTATGCCCAGGGATGGTCCTCAGGACTGTTCTGGGGCCTAAGGATAGGTGTTCGCAAGGCTCCTCCAACGTTCGGCCCAGAAGTGGGTCATCTTCCCCTGCTTCTCCCAGATCTCTGCCCCTCTTTATCTGTCCTGTCCCAGTCTCACTGTCTCAAAACCTCAAGGCTGCAACTCTTTCCGAGAAAGCCAAGAACACAGCTGTGAGTCCCATTCCCTGTGGGGGAGTTCCAGCTCTCCCTCCTGGCTCCAGATGTAAAGGAACAGCTGTGGGGGTGGAAAGATGCCCAGTTGGCAGCTAAGCAGGGCCTGGGAAGATGGAGAACAAAGCAGGGAGATACAGGCAAATGGCAGGGCTCTCCTAATTCTAGAAACCCAGGGAAAACAGCATTTGTCCCCTGGCCCGGCAACCGGCGGGACAGGCCTTGCCAAATCCCTCAGACGTGGCCCAAACCCTCCCCATCCCAATCCTGGCAGCCTGGGCCACTGGGCAGGACCTTCTGTAAACTCCATTTTATGATTCCCACTTAATCTGAGAAAGGAAACTTGGCTTCCTTTGTCTTACTCCACCCCTGTCCTCAAACACACACCTCCCAGCATGAGGTTTCAGAAAGGAAGGCTTGGAGGGGGAGAGAGAGGGAGCGGAGAGAGGAGGATGGGTTTCGGCCACTCCCATCGGGCATCCTCCTGCCTCTCCCTACCTTTAGGATGTAAACCAGGATGAAGAAGGCCAGGCTGGGTGTCCAGCAGACAGCCCACTCTGGGTGCCACCCGCGTGCCTGCTTCACCAGGGGGACAATGAACGACTTGGCACCAAGCACTGTACCCAGTAATTGTTTCTTGAATGACCGTGGCCTCCTCTGGGTCCCACAGGGTCCCAGAGACACTGCTGGTCTTTAACAAGCCTGTCTAGTGCTAGGACAGGGTGCCCCCTGCCATGCCCACTTGCCCCCATCCATGTCCTCCCCAACCTGAAGGACACAGGGTGTCACAACTGCTCCCATTTTAGGAAAAATAGTTTAATGTTAGGTTTCAAACCTCTTTTCTAGATGAGGGCCCATTCTCTGTGGGACCCCCATCCCAGTGCTCTTCCCATGCCTGCTGGGAGATAGCAGCCCCTCTCCGAAGGGCACCCGCCCGCTCCAGACGTCCCTGCCCTCCTGGGAGGCCTACTCTGGGGCTAGGCTTTAGCAGGTCCTGCACTTTTGTGTTTTTATCACAAGTGGGCAGAACACTGTATTTTGCCCCTTTTTTGATGCCATGGGACCAGCCCGTGGCACGTTCCTACCCTTTAATTAAATAGCCCATTAAATAAGCCCCCGGCCCTGGTGGAGATGGGGCACACGGCACAAAGCCCGCGCCTCAGATGGCCTCCAGCCACCCTGGGCCTCCACCCTGACTGGATCCAGCCGCCTTGAGAGCAGCCAGGGGCACGGCCCTGTCTCAGGCCTGGCCAGTACCAGGACCCCTCTCCACACAGGGAAGGGGGAGTCCAAGCGCATCACCAGGCACCCCCACAGCTACGGATGGGGTCGTTCAGGCGGCCAAGCGGGCAGACGGGTGGATACAGCTTCCGCCCCAGTCAGAAGAACGTGAGGTTCTTGACTGCTCCGATCTCCAGCATCCGCTTGATGGCCAGGGCCTCCTGGGAGACATTGTGGCCTGACCCCTGTGGAGACAGCCAAGGAAGCAGACTAATGGACTCCCAGGGACCTCCCCGGCCCAAGGAGCACTCTCTGATGCCCCCCACAGTCCCCGCACTTCTGGGAGCTCCCTGCCCGGGGTTGGCTCCCAGGAGGACAACACGACCCGTATGGCCAGATACCGAAGACTCAGGCTAGAAGACCAGGGGTCTGAGTTCCAGTTCTGACCCTCGAGCAGCATCTGAGCCCTTAGCACCACTCTCACCGCCCCCTCCCAGGGTCCCCAGCTCTGTCCCAGCCAGCTCGGAAGCAGGGGCCGCTTACCGCCATGGACTTGAGTGTGATCTGTTCATAGTAGTGAATGGTCTGCTTCCTGTTGTGGGCATCTGGGTAGCCAAAGCCGGCGATATGCACCAGGTCGCAGAGGTGGAGTGCCAGCGTGATGGCCAGCAAGCCGGTGGTGGGCTTCTGAAAGGGTTGGGGGGGGATATTAGAGGGAGACCTGCATCCTTCCCCGCCTTCTAGGCTAGCATTTCGCAATAGACTTTCACGGAAATGTTATTCCTCTGTGCCGTCTACAATGCGGTCACCGGCCATGTGCAGCTTCTGGGCAGGGGCGCCAGGCTGGTGCAGATGCATGTGAACCGACTCTTTCACTTTATTTAATTGTATACTTAATTTAATTAACTTAAATTTAAATGTAAGTAGCCACAGGTAACTCAGGGACACCAGGCTGGAAGGCCGACCCAACACACCTCGGGGAGGGCTTGGGCCTCGAGGCAGTGATTCCGCGTTGAGCGTTTTATCCTGCAGAACACGAGTGTGTCCGGTCTTCACAAAAGCACTTGGAGGTGGACACATTTTACAGATGGGGAAACTGAGGCTGACGACTTCATTCAAGGAGTGGAAAGGTTCTGCTCTCTGCCTTGGAAAACCTCACCTCTTTCAGAAAACCTGGGGGGCCCCCCACTCACGGGCTGTGTGGCCCTTGATGAGGATGGGTTCTCCCCTTCCGTGAAGTGGGGACAGCAGCACTGTTCCCACCCACCTTATGGGCTGCTCTGGGGGGAGACCTACTTTCTCCATCCCTAATTTGTCCACGGGGATGGGCAACGTGATACCCTAACTTCAACCCTTTTTTTTTTTTTTAAGATTTTATTTATTTGTCAGAGAGATAGAGAGAGTACAGGCAGGCAGAGAGGCAGGCAGAGGCAGATGGAGAAGCAGGCTCCCTGTGGAGCAAGGAACCCGATGTGGGACTCGATCCCAGGTCCCTGGGATCATGACCTGAGCTGAAGACAATCGCTTAACCGACGGAGTCACCCAGGCGTCCCAGATCTTGCCTTCCACAGCTCCAACACCCTGCCTTCCTGACCACTACTGCCGCCCACTCCCATTTACGAACTGCTCCCTGGACCTTGTCAGCTCAGATTTGCCCCAGTGTCCCTTCTGAGCATTGCCGTCATTTCATCTGTCTCTTCCTGCTGGGGTTTTCCCCTCCTGTTGTTCTGACTACCACTACGTTCTTACCCAGTTCACATGTTTGCTGAACCACATTTCCAGGGCCTGCTAGATTGCTCTGCCTGGTCACCGGCTCCTGGAACCCACCAGACTCCTCTCCCCCTGAATTCCCTATATTAGTTAAGCATGTTACCACCCAGCTAGCTGTCTAAGCTGGAAACCTAGAATTACGAGAAATCTCTCAACTTCACCTGCAAAATAAATGGTGTTGCAGGAGGTCACTAAAATAGCCCCCAGTGACCCTTGGGTGTACGTGGAACCTACCAATCTGAGACGTAGGACATGATATTCAATTGCCCTACAGGTGCCATTGGCCCTAAGATAGAGAGAGCATCCTGGTGGGCTTGACCTCATGAAATGAGCTTTAACATCTGAGTCTAGAGGTCGGCAGTGGAGGAAGTCAGGGGTGGAATGCACAAGAAGGATTTATCGTGTTGTTGCCGGCTGGAAGGTGGAGGGGGCTCTCTCGAAAGAAACAGACACAATCTCTAAGAGCTGAGGGTATCAAGGCTGAAAGCCAGCAAAGGAAACAAGACCTCAGTCCTGGAACCATAAGGAACTAAATACCTCTGACAAGAAGGACCCTGGAAGTGTGTTCCCCCCACCCCACTCCAGCCTCCAGATAAGAACTCAGCTGTGCCCCGCTGGACCGCTGACGGCCAGAACTATGAGTCTATCAGTAGGCAGTACTTAAAGCCACTCAACTCTGGTGGTTTGTTAAGCAGCAATGGGAAGCTGCTATATCCAGGGTATGCCTTCCATTTCCCCCTCCCACAGCCAGAAGGTGGGTCCTGGTTCTTCTCTTGTCTCCCCGCTCCAGCCTTCCTCCTCTGCCGCACACCCAATCAGAGGCATGAAATGCCTCCTTGCTGCTCCCCTCCACTTCAGTTGTGCTAGAACTCAGTGCTGGAGGAGCTGGTTGGTCTTGCCAAAGGAAATACCCTTTCTCCAAGTCCCTGCCTGATGGGCCCCATGACCCCTCAAAGGCCCAACTCCAAGACCACCTCCTCTGGTTGGGGGGTGGGGGGACTCCCAGCAGAGGTCTGCCCCTCCTCTCAGCTCCTCCAGCATTGGGAACAACTCCCTACTAGGGCATTCTGCCACTGAGTGTCCTCAAGGCAAGGTGCATGTCCTACACCCCAAGTGTGCAAACATGAGGCCAGGGACTGAGCAGCCACAAAAGAAGGCATTCAACCTAAGCCGAATCAGAGTAGATATTCAGTGAAGAATAAAAATATTTTGCTGTGAAATTTGGCAAATACAGTGAGCATCCCCTGTGTACCAATCTCCGTGATAGGCATGTTATATAATTGTGTTTTTAAATTCTACAAGGGCCTTAAAAGGTCAGTACGAACACTGAACACCGTCCTCACCACACAGATAAGGCTCCCAGTGGCCAATCTACCCAAGGCCACAGAGTAAGAAGCAGGACAGCCAAGTCCTGGCGATGTTTACTAGCTATCTCCGACAACTACTATCCCACACGGCCTCTCTAGGGGTTCAGACGGCACGTGTGGAAGTCCTTGGGAAAGTAGGGCTAAAACGCAAACCACAGCTTGCAGAACTGTACTGTGACTCCCCAACCTGACACATGGCACGGAAGCAGGGCACACAAGATAAAACGAAGCTCGAGCTCCTTTAATTCACTCTGACGAATCCATTCCAAGATATAAGATCACAGATAAAGTGACATAGCCAACTGCAGACATTCTAAAGTCAAGGCCACAGACTGTTCCAGCAACTCCCTAGTTTATAAATTCTGACCAGCGCCTGCCAAAGCCTCTAACTCTGGCCCTGAGCCTTATAAAAACGCTCCCCTAACTTCCTGCTCGGCAGACATCCTCCCCCAACTCTCCCCACCCACAGCCAAATACACTGGACTGAATACAGGGGTCTGGGAGCTGTTCAAATGCAACCTGGGGTCTCTGTTGTTACTTTCCCCCCCTCTTGGGGTCCTCCAGGGCTTCCGAAGCCTCTAGAAACATCCTGTCCCAGCCTCCGGATTCCCAGCCCGCCGCCCACTGTCACCCGCACGCACCTGCTTAATCTTACGCGGCTGCTGCATGGGAAGGCTCAGCAGCTTGTCCGCTGCAATCTCCATGAAGAAAGGGTTGAGAATCCGAACCTGCCTGGGGTTGACGTCCCAGATGAGGGGAGGCTGCTTCCAGAAGCCCTTTCGCACCTGCGGGGCATACGATTGGAAGGGAGAGATGGGGGTGCGCGCATGTCTGTTTCTCAAGTCCAGCCGGGCAGTGCTCAGTGGGCAGATGGGGTCCACATGATGGCGGAGGCCCCCAGGAGTGCAGGGTGAGCCGGGAGGGACGTGGAGGCCAGGCCCGCACCCAAGAGGGAAAGGGTGACCAGAGAGGAGTGGGGAGAGGTGGGAGGATCCTACTGGGGGGGGGGAGCAGTGACAAGCTGTGTAGGGTAGCGGGTCCAATTACTGCCCACTTCCACCAAACAGGTGGAAGGGGCTTAAGCGTGGGGCTGCGTAAACCCTTGGTGAAAATGCTCGATGGGACCAGTGTCAGCATCTGACTAGATGAGAAAAAGACACAAGGGACACCACCCGGAAGGACAGACCTCCTGTTCTAGCCTACCCCTGCCTGGAGAGGACTACTGACCAGCTGCTTTCCTCCCAGGTTTCTCAATGGCACACACATTTTCTGGCAGCTTCCCTGGCCTGGGCAGCCTCAAGCTTGGAGTGCCCACCTCATGCCCGCAGGCTGTCAGACCCTGGCTGCTGTGGTGGCTTCTCAGAAGCCCCACAGAACACGGAGTTCACACCTTCCCCTCCTGGGCTTTCACAGGGCAGACATTGTAGAGCGTGAGGTCCTCAGATAGGCAGGGTCCCGTCTCGGAGCCCCACCCTCTCCCATCCCCCGAGTCCCCGCTCACCCTCTTCTTGTCACTCAGGATGGTCTCAATCCAGTGGAAGTCCATTGCCTTGAAAGCTACCAGGACGAGGAGTGTGTCTGGGTTGTTCTCCACTTTGGGGTCGAAGTGGGCGGACTCAGGGTAGAAGAGACGCATGGTGGTCTTGGAGCCCACGTCGCCCTCGTAGCCAGCCACTGGGGCATTGTTCAATCTGAAAGGCCGGGAGGAGGAGGCCCGTCAGCCGGAGGCCCATGGGCCTGTCGACAGTCCCTCCCAAACAGAAGGGACCAGCGCCCAAGCTACAGACCTGATGACCACGTCGTACTTGTTGATGGCGTCCCCCAGCGAACTGTTGCGAAGCCGGTGCCCGTTCCCCACCACCACGCAGCGGCGACACTTGAGACTGCCGTGGGAGACGGTGATCAGCCCCCGGGGAGACCCCTGTGCCCGTGCTGCTGAACTCCTGATCTGGGTCTGCCTGGGGCCCGGCTCGGGATTCCTTCCCAGGCTGCCTCGGCCTCTGATACCCACGGACCCGGCATCTCCAAGGAGCCTCACTTAGGGTCCTGCTGACTTCCCAGCCCTGGGCTTTCACGGCAGAGGAACTGAGCAGAGAACAGAAGGCGGAGGAGGAGAGGAGGGAAGGCTCCTAGTGGGGACTAATAAGAAATCCCATTTCAAAGCCCCCTCGCCTGCTGCCCAGGTCCGCGTGTCATTAGGGCAATACCCTGCCTGCTCCAGCGCCCGAATGCCCAGGTCCAGTTGCTGTGGACACTGGCGTCCCTGCCTCCCCTGGAGACGGGCAGGCTGGAAAGAAGGGTCAAATTGGCCCCAGGGGAGCAGAGATAGGAAGTCTCACTGGGAGGTGCTGGCCCATGACTATCTCTGGGAGGCGGAAAGGAGAAGGTGCCCAGACTCGGGGCAAGGACTGTCTCCTTACCTCTGGATGCTCTCTGGGATGGAGTAGCTGGTGACGGCTAGAACCCGGAGGAGCAGGTCTTCTACAAAAAGATGCAGATTGGGAGGGGCCAATGACAACAGCCAGCTTCCTGAAGGCTGCCAGCTCTCCCTCCACTGCTCCTCAGAGCCTCTGCTGCCCCCTCCTCCCCTGACCTCAGCATCGGAGCCTGGCTCAGAGCGCGGGCACCGGGACCATGAGCAGCAGAGAGCGAGAAGCAGCGTGGCCGAGGTGAGCCCACCATGCCCATTCACCCAGCCGCTCTTACCACTCCCCTTGGTCCCGTACGGCAGCTCATAGGCAGACGGTGTCTTGACCCAGAAATAATCCTTCAGCTGCAGGAAGATGGGCTGATCTCGGGAGTAGCTGCGGAGGTGAATGCAGGGCCGGGATGAGAAAGGGATTAATCTTAAAGAAGCCAGAAGCCAGGGTCAGGTCAGGCCCCTGACTAATATTCTATATGTCATATATAGTAGTATGTAATATTGTACATAATAATTATTACATATTATGTATTAATATAATATTATATATAATTATATTTTGGTGATATAATTATATGATATTTTATGGTATAATAATGTAATATGTTATATAAACTATATATTTATATACTTAAATATTTTAATATACAGTAATATATATTCATGGCATATGTTTTTATATTATATAATATATAAAAGTATAATATATAATAACATTATATATAATAAACATATTATTTATAATATATAAAAGTAATGTATAATATATAATATTTGGGGCCCCTGAAACCTCCAACTCAATGTATAAATTATATTAATGGGGCACCTGGGTGGCTTAGTCGTTAAGCACCTGCTTTTGGCTCAAGTCATGATCCTGGGGTCCTGGGATGGAGCCCCCCGTGGACCTGCTTCTCCCTCTCCCACTCCCCCTGCTTGTGTTCCCTCTCTGGCTGTCTGTCAAATAAATAAAAATCTTTTAAAAATTATATTTATATATTATATATATATAATATTATATAATAACATAATTATTCTGTCTTACTATATTGCTTATATATCTGTATGTTCAAGGGCCTCTCCTCCCCTCACGGGTCACCTAACCCATGTCCACTAACACGTTCCCCTCCATCTACACCAGCACTGAGGCCCCCACCCTCTGAAACTCCCCGCCCACCTCTCCCTATACCCGCCCCACCTCAGCCTTAAGTACTTACTTGCCGAACAGCTTAGAGGCCTTCCTCTCCACTTCCCCCTGGAAGCACGGCTCCTTCTTCTCTGGGATGGGAAAATAAAAACTAGAGACAGAAAAGGGAGAAGGCAGGAGCTCCAGTCAGACCTCTCGGGCCCAGGGGCCAGCATCCCAGGCAGCCTCCACTTTCTCCCATGACATAGGTCCCCAGGTCCCAGCAAGTGACGTGCAGGGTAGAATCATCTCAACCCAAGTTCACTCTGAGACCAACTCTTGGCAGATCCAGCTCTCCTTTCTCTGAGCAGCTCTAGGGAGGCGTCACAAACCTTGCACCCTGAACCCACTACCTAACCTTCCTGGAAGGATTTCACGCTAACAGCTGGAGGAAGGGGCCATACCCTCGCCCTCTGAACCCTCCCAGCCCCACTAAGTCGGCCACCCCCAACACTCCATCCCTGAGCCCATTGCTGAGAAGAACCAACGGGAGGACCAGGAAGCTAGACCCAAGCTCCAAGTACCTGTCTTCCCGGGAGATAGAATACCACACCATGACGACCAGGACCAGAGCCAGCATGGCCAGGAGCTTCCAGCCTGCAGGGCACATGCACAGAGGAGCTAGAGGCAGGGACAGGCAGAGACGGCCCCAGGCCACCGACCCTGTTTTGGGCCCCTGCCACCTCCAACTCAAGCAGACCCGGTCCCCGGCCCTCGCCTGGCTGTGGCTTTCCAGCACCGGGCTTGAGCCTGTGTTTCTATGGTCCTTCAAGATAAACAGAGGGCCCCCTGGCCATCTGCCTGTCCCTCCACAGCCCCCAAGCGGGTCACAGATGCTGAAGACTGCTTCTGGGGGGCCCATCCTTCAGGGTCGGGGAGCCCTGGGACAACACTCACGGGACTTGCTGATCATGTTTCTCAGCGGGTAGCAGGGTTCCTGGGGAGAGCTGTCATCCTGGCTGCCTCGGGCCACCTAGGAGGTTAGGAGTCACAGGTGTGTGGTCAGCTCTGGAAACCTTCTACCTAGAGCCTGGAGGACACAACCGCAGCCTGCCTTTCCTTCTCCAGAAGGCACAGAGCTGCTTCCGGGGTGGCCACCCAGAGAGCAGACATCCTCTAATCCCTTGAAAGCAGCATCTGGGGTCCAGGTGGGGCAAGGGAACCCAGATCACACTCCTCAAAGATGAGGTCCCACGCCAGACTGGCCTGTTCGAGCTTCCCTGGCGTGGTTTCTTGGTCCCCTTCCTCAGTTTGACCTGGGAAGGGCCAGCTCCAGGAGGCAGATGGGAAGTTCTACCCACCTTTGCCATGGAAGTGAACTGTATGGGGCTATGATTTGTAATTTAGGCAGTGGACGTTTGTCATTCTCTGCCATCCAAAGCAGTCCCTTGTCTCTGCTACCACCCACCTCTCTGTCCTCGGTCTTCCACCACTCCAGCCAAACAGATCCACTCTGGCCTGGCGCTGGGGCTGTGGATGGTCCCCCAGTCCTTCTAGATTCTAACTAAATGCAAACAGGGTCCAAGCCCTCATCCTCCCAGCGCCGGGGGGTGGAGGGAGTTCCATGGAGGCAACTGTCTGAATGGGAGTGCGGGGGAGGGCAGGCATTGGTCAGAGAAGATGGGAGACCCTTTGGCATGGCAAGGACAGGGCTCTGGAAGGGGGTCAGCTGCTAAACGCACATAAGCAAAGAGGTCCCTACACCCAAACAGCCAGGGCCATGCTGCAGAGTCACAGGGGAAACAATTTAGGCAGCCTGCACAGAACACCAAGAGGTGCGGGACGCCAGGCGCCATTTCTGTCATCCACGCAGTGTTCCCCACCCCCGTCACCCGGATCAGAAGTTACCCTGGGCCGCTTCCTGCAAACACAGATTCCAGGGCTCCTCCCGGGGTTTGCTAAATCAGAGAGGGCGGGACCTGGGACAGGCATTTTCACAAGCAGCTCAGGTGATCCTTGGGATCCACTGGGGACAGGGACGGAAGCTCCAGCTCTCAGGGAGACCTGGAAAACCTCCAATTATTTCCTCAGGGCAGGAGACAGCATCAGGATGAGAGCTGGGTTTTGTTACTAATCATAAATGAATTATCCTGAACACTGTCCTATTATGGAGTTGATGCTCTGCCCCCACGCTCCGCTCTGAGTCCACAAACACCAAAGAATGAGAGTCTTGGCAGGGAGTGGGGGGAGGGGTGTGGGACCAGAGCCAGGTATCCCCAGGAAAGTCAGGAGCACCCATCCCCAAACCCCAGTAGGGATGGAGGATGACCCTATCTAGTGAAGTTCTGGATTTGTAGTTAGAAGACATCAGTGAAAGTCACGGTTCTAGAAGCTTCTCCGACCCCTCCTCCGAAAGTGTCATGCCTTCTTCCTACAGCCACTGCCAAGTCATTCCTCACCCCGGCACAGTCCAGAGCACTTCTCCTGATCTATACTGAGCCTAGTAATTTCCTTGCTTGCTCTCTGTCCTCCCCACTGGAGTATGAGCTCCGTGAGGGTACCAATGCTCTGTCTGATTCCCAGCATCCAGCACGCGGCCCAGCACATAGCCAGTGCTCAGGAAGTACTACTGATGAATGGCACATTGGGTTACCTTGGCGGTGGGGGGGGGGTCACTTGTCCCTCTCTGACCCTCAGTTTCTTTGGCTGTGCAACTGGGAAGTTAGCCTAAAACATATTTTAAATATATAAATATTGTGTAGAACTATTTATATATTTGTATTATGGAGACGATGTTCTGCTCCCACGCTCCACTCTGAGTCCACAAAAAAATATATATTTTGCAGCTCAAAATATATTTATCACACCAGCACCACGGGCATCACTAGGGACCTTATTAGAAATTTATAATCTCAGGGCACCGGGGTGGTTCAGTCAGTTAAGCATCTGACTCTTGGATTTTTGCTCAGGTCATGATCTCAGGGTCATGAGATCGAGCCCACACTCAGTGGGGAGTCTGCTGGTGTTTCTCCCTCTCCCCTTCCCCCCTGCTCGTGCTCTCTCTCTCAAATGGATAAATAAATCTTAAAAAAAAAAAAAAAAATGCATGCTCTCCTGCCCCTCCACACTGACATGAGGATTTGCACTTGAATAAGATCACCTGATGAGTCACAGGCACATTCAAGCCTGAGAAACACTGGTTCAGGTGGATGTTTTTGACCTTGACTGAACAGGAGAATCGCCTAAGGTGCTAACATTTTTTAAAAATAAGAAATAATTAAGAGCATCTGGGTCCCACACCTTGGAATTGGGACTTGATGCGTCTGGCCCAGCAGCGGAATCTGCTCGAGCTCCTCGGGGGATTCTAACAAGCCGTGAGAGTTCGGAACCGCCGAGGACAAGGGTGGTGAGGATGTCCGCATGACGGCCGAAGCAGGCCTCTTGGACTTTGAGGTGTGCCTTCTGACTCAGTGGGCGAGGCTGGACACGAATTCTAACCAGCTCCCAGGTGCTGCCCGGCTGCTCCGTGGGAACCACGCTCCGTGCTGCAGAGCTCCACACCAGGATCCTCCCAGCCCTAACACCTCCCAACTTCACGAACCTCACCCTCTCCTCCCTTCCACTCTCTCTCCGTCTTCGTGACCAGGACTCACTCCATTTCCTGGCAGCTCCCTTTGTATCAGTAGGTCATAACACTGCTGGCCTGAGTGGCCTAAGGCCAGGACCTGAGGAGTTTAAAAATATAGAGAGGCCTCAGCCCCAGTCTCCGAGATTCTGATTTAATGGGTTAAAGGCAGTGTCCAGGCACTCCTAAGTGAAAAACAAAACAAAACCCAACCCCCACCCCACCTCTCTTACGGGGAAGCCAGCATGGACACCAGCACTTCGAGCGAGCTCCACAGTAACTGAAAGACACAGACTCGACCGCCCTCCAGGCCCCACCAGGGTGGCGGAGACCTTCGGCAGCGGGAGGTGAACACAGCGGACTAGTCGGATCCCAAGCAACACGGCAACGAGCCCCCTTTGACCTCCTCCCCAGAAAGCCTGCCTGGCAATGGACGTCTTGGTTCCCAAATGGTGTTGGTGTGTGAGAAGCAGACAGCTGAGGCTTAAAGTTGGCCCCAAGACCCCCCCACCCCAGTCTGGGTGTCATCAGCCCAGCCCTCCCCTCCCTGGGCCAAGCCCTGACCAGAGCCCGGCAGCCGCAGACATTCCCGGCGCCCGAGCTTGGCCGGTGGCGGCTGCCCCAGGTGGACCCACAGCCTTCTCCCGGCCGTGGGCCGCCCCGCGTTATTGACCAGACCCCTGGGTACGAAAGGACACGGGGAAAGTCACAGGACAGTACCTGGGCCAGAGAGCAGGACTCTGCTCCACTCATGTCCAACATGCAGCAGCTCCTGCCTGCCACCAGCTCCCCCGACACACCAGGCAAAGCTGACCCTGGGGCAGGAAGTCCACGTGCTCTCAGGGGCTCTGCCAAATAGCACAGCAGTCCCTCGCTGACCTGAGGCCGCGAGCACGGCCCCGGACCTCGCTGGAGGGCAGAGCCCAGGGCACAGGGTGAAGCATGAAGTCCCCGGAAGGGGCCACTGTGCCTCGGGCTGGGCGGACACTCGCCGCCTCACACACAGCAGGCACCCACCTGCTACCTGAAGCAGAAGGAACGGAATGCGCACCCGCCCAAGGGCACAGCGTGATGCCAGGTCCCTCGGACCCCTGGGGCCCAGCGAAGGGATAAGGTCAACTGTCCCCGAGCAGGGGTCTGGGAAGACCAAGGCGGGGAGAAGCAGAGGCTCCGTTCTTATCAGTTCAGAGACCTTGAGCAAGTCACGTAATCAATGTCACCGTCCCTTTGTTTCTGCAGGGAAAACACTGGAGCTGCCTGCTAGCCCCATCTAGACTCAGCCACCCCTCCTGTTCCCTCCAGTGCTTCCACCAGACACCGATCCCCGCTCCCCTCGCCAGGACCTTTCCATCAGGGATCCCCCTTCGCCCTGCTTCTTCCCACTCTCTCCTCTTCACTCCTACTAAACAGACTTCGATCCCCGCCCCCCCCCCCAACAAAGCCCTCTCTGCTTCCACCTCCTCTTCCGGCCATCCCTGCATATCCACCTCCGCTGGTCACACTTCTGTATCTGTGCCCTATCCTCTCCGACCCCACCCCGGCTCCCACCTGGATTTTCATGCAGAAATGGCTCCTCCTCCTCCTGAAGCCATCAGCGGCCTCATGCCAAACCTGAGGAAGTTCTATTTTCTCTGCCTCCTACCCTGAAGGCTTTGATACTGTCGGCCAATGCCTGTGGCTTCTGAGTCAGGACTCTCCCTGTTTCCCTCTCGGTGACAGTCTCCTCTGGCCCCAGTCCCTTTAAGAGCTGGCATTCTCCATGGATCTGTCCTTGAACCTTTGCTCTCCTGCCTGTTTTTACAGGACAAGTTCATTCATTTTCAGAGGTCTGCCTGCTGCTCCTACCCTGATGAGTCAGACCCTCCCCAGACCCCACCCTCGTGTTTCTGGTTGCCTGTGGCCCTTCCTACCTGCATCTTCCTTAACTCTCCACAGTTAACACGTCCCCAGCTAGACCGCTTCTCCCACTCTGCCCCATCCACTCCCGTACCCACAGGATCATAAACTCAGTCTTCCAACATCTGCCCCCGCCTCACACCATCCCCACAAAACAGTTACTAAACATGATTGATTCTACTCCATTTCCTCATTCCAACCAGCTCACTGAGCAACTACTGAATGCTTGGCTTTGTGGGAGGCACAGGGGATGTGAGGCTTTACAAAACCCAGCTGAGAGGTGACTGGCTGGTTCAGTTGGAGAGGCAGGAAACTCTTGGCCTCAGGTTTGTGAGCTCGAGCCCCATGTTGGGTGTAGAAATTACTAACAAAATAAAATAAAGTAAAATAAAATAAAATAAAACCCAGATGCGGCATGAAGGCCACCGGTCTAGAGCCTCAGAAACACTTTATTTTTAAGATTTTATTAATTAATTTGGAAGAGGGAGAGAGAGTGAGAGTGCACAAGCAGG